GCCTAAAGCCAACTCCTCACAGGCACTGGCTCCCACTTCCCCTGCCTTGCTTCCTCTGATACAGAGGCAGCAAAGGGTGGGGGGGGGGAGGAGGAGGCGTGTGGGTAGTTGATAGGCTTAAGCCATGAACCTAGGCTTATTGGGTTAATTATTTACTCACCTATAGCTAAAATCCCAAGCAGGATCAGCCCAATAAACTGGCTGTAATCATCATGGTTATGCATGTTGCATACAGAGCTCTGCTGCCATAATAACAAGATGCAACTATAACCACAATAAAATCCTGGCCATGTTAAATATGAAAAATTAATGTCTGATTGGTTATGAAATGCCCTTTGTTCTCCAGTCTACCACTTGTCTCTTGGGAGCAACAAGCAAATATAATACAGCCACTCCCCGACTTACAAACACACCGACTTACGACCAACATCCCATTAACCATATTATAATATTTTTGAGTTGAGAACCAAGTACGTCAAATTTTTCGAATAGCTCAGGCAGCATGTTTAAAGATATTTTCAACTTATTACCAAATCGAGTTACAAACGGGTTACAACCAGGTGTTCGGAATGTAAGTCGGGAAATGCCTGTATCAGGATCACAAAGCAATTTCCTAAGTAGTTTTAAAAATGCTGTTTAGCTTCACTGGCTATTAGCTTCTGCAAAGCAACTTAAAACAAGTCTTGTCACAGCATGATTGTCTATCCCATTTAGCCAATAGTTTGCTATCAGCACTGGTACTTCTACAGACCTATGTAATTTGACAAGATTTGCACATTTGCAAGAATTTAACTTAACATTCTACAAAAATCTTAAGTGTGCATCTTACAACTATGACTTAATAGAATTTCAGTCAGCTGTTACAGAACTTTTTAGCCAGACTCATCTCAAAACACATTACAAACTATAACTGATGTACAAGCTGTACAGAGAAATCCATCACCCACCAGTGAAATACAGCTACCACTGGGTGGGAAGTGGTAGTATTGATTAATGTGCAGAAACACTATTCAACAGTTTAGCAACGGCTTCTTTATCAGTTTGAATCTGAAAAAGGATTTGAGCAAGGTAGAATAACACTGCTCACATTAGACCAAAACACTAGTTCACACTTTAGCAAAAGTGAAAAGTACAATTCTTAAATTTCTAAAAATGATGATCAAAACGTTCTTTTAGACTCCATAATCCATCTTCAAATACATCAAATCTCAATATTACAAAAGGGCATCCAGCTAAGGCCAGATGAGTACCCAGGAGTCATGAGTACTCAGGAAAGACCCAACAAGGAAAACAACAGAACACCACTGGTTGTCACCAATAGCCCCCACTAAAACCCCTCAAACACATCATTGATCATTTACAACCTATCCTTAAAAAACAACAACAACAACAACAACAAAACATTCCTCACTCTCACAGACCTTGGGAGACACCTACAGACAGCCCCCCCCCAACCTGAAACAAATACTCACCAGCAGCCACACACCACAGAAACACTTACCCAAGAACCTATCCCTGCAACAAACCCCATTGCCAACTTTGCCCACATATCTATACAAGCGACACCATCACAGGACTTAACCACATCATCAGGAGCTCATCCATCGGCACATCCACTTATGGGATCAATGCCATCATGTGCTAGCAATGCCCCTCTGCTGTGTATATTGACCAAACCGGACAGGCTCTGTGCCAAAGAATAAATGAACACAAAACAAATATCAAAAGTTAACATATATAAACCTCTAGTAGGAGAACACTTCAACCTCCCTGGACAGTCAGTAATGAGTTTTAAAGTAGCCATCCTTCTAAAAAAAGCTTCCAAATGAGATTACAAAGAGAAACAGCAGAACTGCTATTCATTTGCAAATTCAAAACAGTCAAATTAGGACTGAATAAGGATTTAAATTGCCTTTGTAATATGTAGTGAGGTAACCAATTTTCCTTCTTGGTAATTCACACCTCCTCCTCAGCTTCTATGCGTGAACCACATCCACCCTGACATAATTGGCCTCATTAACACTATTCCTACACTTGATAAGTAACTTCCTTCATACATATATCTCTATCCCTACCTCTGTTATTTCCACTCCAATTCATCTGATGAAGTGGGTTTTACTAACAAAAGCTTATGCTCAGATAAATCTGTTAGTCTAAGGTGCCACGGAATGCCACACTATTTTTAAGATTGTAAAACCCTCCAAACATCAGCCATCATGATTCATTTGGGGTGGAAGAGGTCATAGAACACTAGAACTGGAAGGGACCTCGAGAGATCTTCAAGTCCAGTCCCCTGCCCTCACAGCAGGATCCAGTACCATCTAGACCATCCCTGATAGGTGTCTTTCTAACCTGCTCTTCAATATCTCCAGAGATGAAGATTCCACAACCTCACAAGGCAACTCATTCAAGTGTTTAACTACCCTGACAGTTAGGAAGTTTTTCCTAATGTCCAACCTAAATCTTCCTCCCTTGCTGCAGTTTAAGCCAATTGCTTCTTGTCCTATCCTCAGAGGCCAAGGAGAACAATTTTTCCTCCCTGCTCCTTGTGACAGATACCTGAAAATTGCTATCATGTCCCCTCTTAGTCTTCTCCATTCCAAACTAAAGAAGCCCAATTCTTTCAGTCTTCCTTTATAGCTCATGTTCTCTAGACCTTTAATCATTCTTGTTGCTCTTCTTTAGACCTTCTCTAATTTCTCCACATCTTTCTTGAAATGTGGTACCCAGAACTGGACACAATACTCCAATTGAGGCCTAATCAGCGCAAAGTATAGCAGAAACAACCTTAAATTTTGTAAGGTTTAGGATTTGAAGTAGATAGGTAACTCATCAGCACTAGAACAGGGAAAGCATTTAGGTCTTGTCTATGCTAGAAAGTATTTTCTATTACAGTTATACCAGCATGACCTGCAGTGGAGGTGTAATGCACATAGCTCATACCATAGGTTCCCCCAAAAATGAGCTAAACAAGTAATATGACCTTTTTTACCCTTACATAACTGTCTACAGTAAGGCTTTGGCTTTATTGACATCTCATAACACTGTGGGAGGTTTTTTAAAAGAACTTTGAGTTCTTTGTACCCCTATATGATGCTAATGAAATCTCACCTCCAGATCAGCTACCAGAAGTGGGCCTCATCCTCCTTGATTGGATCCACCTCATCATCTCCAGCCTGATTCTGGCCTGCATATTTATATCTGCCTCTGGAAATTTACACTACATGCATCTGACGAAGTGGGTCTTTGCCCACGAAAGCTTATGCTCCAACACTTCAGTTAGTCTATAAGGTGCCACAGGACTCCTCGCCTCATGTGCAACAGTGTTATCAAGTATTATTACAGGGATAATCAGCTAAAAAGACATTGCAAGTTTTATCTGTTTTCCCATACCTATTAGAAATCTGTTGAACTGAGTGGGAAATGAAGAAATTACAATTTTTTAAAAATCTAACTCCTCCTCTCCCCCTATTTCTTTTACTCTCGTTATTCATGGCAGGCACTCATTCACTGCTTCTCAGGTTTGCAACATAATAAAGTAATAAATGAATAATTGTTCATATCGATTTTACTTACTCCATTAGGCATATTATAAAAATTAATAGGTTATACCTAAAATCCATAGAGGATGTTTATTACCCTCATTTGAAAGATGGGGAAACAGAGAGGTAGAATGCTCAAGGGACTGTCTCACAGAATCTCAAGGGCAGAGTAAGGAACAGCAGTGTGTGAAAGTAATCGCGGAGAGAGCAGGATTCTGTTCATTTGTTGAAGTGTAGGAGCATAAGCTTTTGTGGGCAAAGAAAGCTTATGCTCCTACACTTCAGTTAGTCTATAAGGTGCCACAGGACTCCTCGTCGCTTTTGCACATTCAGACTAACACGGCTACCCCTGTGATACTTGTTCATTTGTTGTTTCACAATTAAATTAATGGAGATTGCCTATCTCCTAGAACTGGAAGGGACCTTGCAAGGTCATTGAGTCCAGCTCCCTTCCTTCACAGCAGGACCAAGTACCATCCCTGACAAACTTTTGCCTCAAATCCCTAAGTGGCCTCCGCAAGGATTGAACTCACAGCCCTGGGTTTAGCAGGCCAAAGCTCAAGCCAGGAGCTATCCCTGCCCCACAATGGTGCCCTTCCCCTAACCCGTCGTGACGGGTCCCATTCCCCCCAGCGACTTCCCCGCCCCTGCCCGGGCGGAGCCGGGAGCGGTGTATTGGGGCAGTGGGTGCTGCTGTGGGGCGCTCAGGGCCCCCCACCCCGAGCGAG